ACGTATGGGGAGTGGATGTACAGACCCATATGTTCTTGACCTCGACACTAGTTGCAGCTGAGTGGTCAGCTTCACGCCCCAGCCGCTTTACCCCCGGAGAAAGAACTCCCGGTACCCATTGGATAGGAGGCTGGTAGGACATCTGAGCCAGTCTGGACGATATAGAGAAATAAAAATTCTTACCTCCAGCGGGACACGAACTACGTTCCCTTTTTTATTTTTCATTTTTTTTATTATTGCTAGTGGGGTGGGACTAAGTCCCTTGTACTGCGGCTACTTCTGGCCTATTGCACCAGCCCCAGATGATAGGTGAGGGTGATTGTGGAGCAATTGGTGGAATGAAGATTGGCAGAGGAAACCAAAGTACTCGGAGAAAACCTTCCCCAGCGCCACTTTGTCCACCACAAATCCCACTTGACCAGACCCGGGATCGAACCCGGGCCGCCGCAGTGGGAAGCCAGCGACTAACCGCTTGAGCTATGGCGCGGTAACTCCGTCCCCTTAGTCGTCCAGTCCGTAGCCTGTCTCTGTACCTACTGCACTCTCGAGGCTCAACATCACTACGTACACATTCACCACCTCTTCAGTTCTAATGCCACGAATGCAGACCTGTCACCCATGTGCCGCCGCTGTTTTCTAGTGTATGCAGCACCACGTGATCGTGTTGACGTCACTCTTCTTGACGCTTTAAACAAAACAAAAATACTGGACTCCATTGAGCCGAGGCCTTCTTGTGAAGGCGACAGTTGATAAACCTCTCAAGAAATTGCCAAGATTTTGTGAAAAACGAAGGTTGTTTGTAATGTTCCTAGGAACTCTCCACTTCTCCCTACCCTGAGCCATATGAATCCAGTCCATACCAACACATCCAATCTGTATAAAAATTGTTCTATTATTATTCTCCCCAAAACTTCCAGATATTTCTAGTTTCATTTTTCTTCTGGTTTTCTTGCCAAAATTTAACACGCATTCCTCTTCAAACCCTTGCATGGCGCAAGGCTTGGCAATCTCACAGCCCTTCTCTTGAGCTTCCTAATTATACTTGAAGAGGAGTACAATTTACTTAAACCTCCTGCTTTTCTTTGAACAAAATATTCTCCTCAGCACCCTATTCTCAAAACTCTCAGAATTTATTTTATCCTTAGTGGCGGAGACTAAGTTTCAGACCCATAAAAACAACAGGCAAATTTGCCCTTGTTATCTTTTGGTTCATAGAGCAGGCGAGAAGATAAATGGTTCCGAACGGGATAATAGCAAACACTACCCGAATTCAATCTTCTGTTAATTTCACGTGAATAAGGTTGTATACGTTGCTCTCATTCTCAAATATTTACAAATTTGCTATATTTTCAAAAAAAAAGTCTGTTAGTTAACCTTGTGTTATGGTTTTGTTCTACATTCTGGTGACCAGACATCAATATACGTATATACTTAGTTTTCTCTGTGTTTACTTCTAGACGTACCTCGATAGCATCAAGTGGAGCCTCTGTGTTTTTGTTTATATTATTAATATTATCTACTAAACAGCATTCGTATTTATTAAAAGATATACTGGGATATTCTAAATGATTGTCGAGGTTTCCGTGGTCTGTAATATTCAAGCCGGAAAAGGAAAAAAAACTGCACGGGTCTCGGATTTGGCTAAGACGTTTAATGGACAGTCGCATTTACACTTGTAAATACAATTATTCACAACTGCACTATCTCAATTACTTGCACCGCTGATCTCGGTGAAGTGTCTTCTAGCTTTTCTCGGATGCGAGTTTGCTTCCGCTTTAGTAGGAGCTACACTAAGAACTGACTGGTCCAAGTCCAAGTCACACTGCGACTGACTGGTCTCGTCGAAGTTGGACTCTTATAACGTGCACTCGGACTGAATAGAGCGACCCTGTAGGAGGCTCTGGTTTCGCCCGCTGTTATGCAACGAACTTCTTGTTGTCCCTTCATCTCCGGGGAAACGCATTTGTTGTTTAAGTGATTCCTAGGAAACGCCCTGCTGGTATTCCGTTCCCACTGAAGTATACATGTTTATCGCAACCGTTTTTATGCAACTGCCTTGAACAGTTCTTTGCTAAGATTTGCTAGCGTTCGGATTCCAAGGCGTTGTAGCGGAAAATCTGGTCGTTGCCTAGGAAACAACCTCTGATCTCCACCATTCCGGTATTCTGGCAGCACGCCACAAGATATTAAAACTCTTTTAGTTCATTTTCATATCCCCTAAGCAGTTTTATTTTATTTTTTCCGGTTGAAAATTACCGACCACGGAAATCCTGACAATAATTTAGAAACACATTGTATCGTAGGATGGACAGATGGACACAAAAGCAACAAAATATGCAAGGAGTTTAATAGACTTGAAAGGATTCTGACGATGGTGTATGCTGTACAGAACTATTAGGCTTAGTTTGGACTCTATCCACCGTCTGGTGTATATATAAGACAAAAAACCACAACGTATCGGAGACTTGATCTGTCTCCGTCCTCAGGTGGATGGGGCAAGATAGACCTACTTAGATGGGCCAGTTAGAAAGAGCTCAAACTTGTCTTTTATTGTAATTTTATTATCTCCCAATGATGGAACCTGCTGTCATGTGTTTACAGGCTGTTCTCTAGTGACAGGGGTTTGTTCAGTGATTGAGACTGGCTCTTTCTAACGGGCAAAACTAAGTAGGTCTATCCTGCCCCATCCACCTGAGGACGGAGACAGATCCAGTCTCCGAAACGTTGTGGTCTTTTGTCTTATATATACCAGGCGATGGATAGAGTCCAGAATTAACTTTATAGTTCTGTAAAGGAGTTAAATGTTTAATGCAGGAAAACCTAACCGACATATCGATATTAAGAAAACGTTTTGCTTCTTTCAAAAATTTAATTCTCATTCAAAGAGATATGACTTGTCCAAAACATAAAATTGAATTATAGTCGCCGTGTATATATAACTACAAATGCCTTTGCATAATGGCCATCAGAGCGGAATAGTGAGGAAGTTTATCGACATGAATAGCCTCCGTGCTTTTGGCAAGGCATCTCAATTACAAATATCATCTTCTGTTTATTATTCAAAACGTTTTTTAAAACATACCTACTTATCTATGCACTCTTTCGCTTTAAGTCTTAAAATATTCCATCATCTCAAGTTATATTTCACTCGCGAGTTCTTTAAACATGGCGTGCAACATTGTACATCGGAATGGTTATTCCTTCATTTCTCGTTTCCGTAATGCAATATCAGTCCTCTCCAAAACACTGTGGACAGTTTGTCTGCTCTCAGAATAAAATCTGGTGATAGTGAAAGTTTCCGGATAAAATTTCATTACGACATTCTTCCAGTACACTTCTTCCAAATGTAACTTATCACCACGGTCTAATACATTCTCAAGACACGTTCGAGAATCTGAAACTTCCATTTGTACGTTGAATCTCCTTAGCTTTTTGAAACCAAATAAAATATATTTTGCAACGGGCAGTTCACGTATATAGAGTTGAAGGAATTCAACTTTCGGAAAGTCTGGAAGAGCTGGCCTTGCCTCACTGTAATCGGGAGGCAAAATAAGATCACTTCTTGTCTTAAAGCAAAGATGAAGGCATATCAGTGACACACAATTCGCTCTAAGAAAATCATAATCTGTGCAAAGAACATTTACGATATTTAGGCACTTCAATCTATTTCCTGCAGCTATTAGGAGCTCATTTACATACATGAATCTGGAGTTCGAGATCTTAAAATTTACTAAATATTTTAGGTCCTTCAGTAGTGTTAACGGGTAGTTCACCTGTGACAAGGAAATCGAAGTGAGGTTAGAAAACTGTGCGATTAGATCGATGTGTTGTTTTCTTGGATCCGCACATCCGAAGATCTTCAACCGTTGCGAACGGGGAGACGGACTACTCACTGAAGAGGCTCCTGTATCCTTCGCC